TAAGATTCCTTTAATATGGAGATACCTTAATACATGTAAATTTGGTATAATGATTTGATTTACTAAACTTAAAGTTTATAACATATAGATATAGCTTATGTATAATTCTCTGTACTTCTTTCTTCCCCTTTCTCCTCTTTTCTTTTTTCTCTCTTTAAAGTTTTATCTTAGGGTCATAATAACCATAGATTTGTTTATAAAGGCCTGTTTTTTCTTTTTGTTTTGTTTGAGACAGAGTCTCACTCTGTCACCCAGGCTAAAGACGGCTCACTGCCACCTCCAACTCCTGGGCTCAGATGATCGTCCTGCCTCAGGCTCCAGAGTAGGTGGGACTACAAGCATGCCCCACCTCGCCTGGATAATTTTATTTTTTGTAGAGATGGTGTCTTGCTCTTGCTCAGGCTGGCTTTGAACTCCTGACCTCAAGTGATCCTCCTTCCTTGGCCTCCCAAAGTGCTAGGATTACAGACATGAGCTACCATACCCAGCCAAAAGCCTGTTTTGTTGTATCTGAGGATTACTATTTTCTTCTTATTCTGAAAATTATTGAATTTTAGCTGGAAAGATCCATATTCTCTACTCTAGCCCCTCATTTTACAGATAAAATTAACTGAGTTACTAAAAGATGGTGGACTTGCCCAGTGTAACCGTGCCCCAGTAAGTAAGCCAGTACTGTATGTATTTGGAATTCTGTCCCCACCATAAAACTACGATATCTCTTTGGGAGGGGAAAAAAGGTTGATTTAGCTTGATGTCCTCTTGATAAAAGTTGCTAGTTTTAATATGTTGTCATGCTTAAACTATTTTATTCTAATAGGCAGGGTCTTAGACCTATTCCTGAAGCAGAAATTGGATTGGCAGTTATTTTCATGACTACAGAGAATTACTGTGATCCTGAGGGCCAGCCCAGTGCAGGTAATTAAAGCATTATTTTGTTGATTCTTTAGCAGTGTTAATTATTATGTAAATTGATGATAAGCTGTATGTACATTACTCCTGTACTTGCTAGGGGTGACCATGTTTACCATCTTAAAACTCATCTATTACGCTTTCATTTATTCATTTAATAAATATTTGTGGCTGCTATGCACTGTTTTAGGTGTTGAAGATACATTAGTGAATAGATCCCTATTATTAAAAAACTTTATGTTCTAAAGATCAAGATTTAGTAAACAAGCAAACAAACGCACATGATAAGTTCAGATACGGCCAAGTATAAAGACAAAGGTAAAACAAGGTGAGTTTATGTGGGTTCCAAGGCATGGACCTCTGAGTTACAAATAATTTTTATAACACAACCAGTTTTGGGAGAACAGAGTGAATATGTGTCTGTCCTTTCTTTTCATATTTATTCATTTATTCAACAAATATTTATTGAACATTTATTACATACCTGTAATTATGCTAAACACTTGGAATAAAGAGGTAAGTAGATAAGTCCAAATTCCTGTCCTCATGGTATTTTTAGCAGGAAGGCATTGTAAATAATCTTATTTTTATCAAGCATCAGTTGTTCTGGGTCATTAGATTAGATTTATAAATGCTTCTTTTAGTGATTATATAAA